GGGTTCCTCAGACTGACATTTGCCTTTCCTTAGAATATTCTCCTAACCTTTCCACTCACTTACACAGACTGAGAGTTAACACTCTATTTGTTGTAATACTCAGATAAGACTTTCTGCTCTCCAAAGTTGGATGATTATCTCTGGCCTAATCTCTTACTGTCTCAAATGCATCTCGTAATTAGCTGGTAAGTGGGGTGATCCCTGTCCAGAGAGCACATGGACTATGTATTGTGGCAATACAACACAAACAGTGCACTGTGAAGGGTCAAGTTTAAAGAGGGTATCTTTTAATACAAAGGTGTCTGCGGGCCTTTACCAGTGGGAGGCTTTAAAAAACAGAAAAAGGGCTTTCTCAGAGAAAATCTGGCTCTCTGAAAGTACGGTGCACTACTTTCTCTGTTGTAGATTGGCTTTCCTCAGATGCAGACCTAGAAGTTAGAATTCCTTCCTGGGACAGAGGTCCCAGGAAGTACTTTCAAGTAAGAAAAACAATTTATAGAGCAGAAGAAAAAAAAATTTAAAAGCACACTTGATCATCTCAATTGATTCAGAAAAAAGCATTTGACAAATTTCAAGACCTTTTGATACAAAATTCAACACTGCCTCAATACTCAGCCAAGTAGGAATAGAAGACAACTACCTCATCATAACAAAGGCAGTATATGAAAAACCTGTACTCAAAAGTACTCAAAAATGAAGCTTTTCCTTTAAGGTCTGGAATAAGAAAAAAAAGTCTGCTTTTATCACTTCTATTCAGCATAGTATTGGAAATCTTAACCAGAGTAATAAGGCAGGAAAAAGAAATAATAGTCATCCAAATTTGAAAGGAATAAGTTAAATTATCTCTGATCACAGATGACATAATCTTATACGTAGAAAACCATAAACATTCCACAATAAACTATTAGAACTAATAAATTCAGCAAAGTGGCAGAATACAAAATCAAAATTTAAAAATCCATTACATTTCTATGCACTAACAATAAAAAATCCAAAAATAAATTAAGAAAATAATTTTTTAACAATACTATCAAAAATTATCAAATACTAAGGGTTTAACTCAAGTAAGGAATTGAAAGACTTGTACACTGAAAACAACAAAGCATTGCTAAAAGAATGTAAAGTATACATAAATAAATGGAAAGATGCTATGTTCATCTATCAGAAAGCTTACTATTATTAAGATGTCCATACTACTAAAAGTGATCTACAGATTCAACATGATCCTTATAAAAACTGCAATGGTATTTTTTCAAGAAATAGAAAAATTCATTCTAAAATGTATTTGAGATCTTAAGGAACCCAAATTAGCTGATTTCAAAATTTGCTATAAAGCTACAGTAAAAACGAACAAATAAACAAAAGGCACAACTGTGTGTTACGGGCGTAAAGACAAATATATAGATTAATAAACTAGAATAGAGAGGCCATAAAAACCCCCTTGTGTATATGGCAATTTATTTTGGACTGGATATTCAAATGCTAAAGAATGAAGTTCGAACTTTAACTAATGCCATGTACAGAACAGAAATTAACTTAAAATATAACCAAACCTACAAGTAAGAGCAAAAATTGTAAACCCTTAGAAGAAAATATAGGGGGAAAAGATTCATGACACTGAATTAGGCAATTATTTCCTGGAGATGGTACAAAAGGTACAACCAATAGAAGAAAAAATTGACACAGACTTTATTAAAATTAAAAACTTTTGTGCATCAAAATACTATTAATAGAGTAAAAGGGCAACCTACAATTTGGGAGAAAATATTGCTAATCACATACCTGATAAAGGACTAGTATCTAAAATACATTAAGAACTCCTGCAACTCAGCTCCAAAAACCAAACAATCCAATTCCAAAACAGACAAAGGATATGAATAGACATTTATCCAAAGAAGACACACAAGTAGACAATAAGCACATAAAATAATGCTCTACATTATTAATTGATAGGAGAATGCAAATGGAAACCACAGTGAGATTCAGCCTCACACTTATTTGGATAGCTATTATCAAAAACACTGAAAACAACAGGGTTGACATGGATGTGGAGAAATCGGAACTCTTGTATTTTGCTTGTTGAAATGGAAAATGGTACAACTACTGTGGAGAAGAGTATGACAGTTTCTTAAGAAGTTGAACAAAGAATTACTATTTATCCAGCCATTTCGCTTCTCGGTATACACACCAAATAATTGAAAGTGGTGATTCAAGCATATTTGTACACCCATGTTCTTAGAGGCATTTTTCCAAAAAGCCAAGGTGGAAACAAACTCAATGTTCACTGCCGAGTGAACATTGATAAACAAAAGGTGGTATAAATACACAATGGAATGTTATTCAGCCTTTGAAAGGAATGAAATTCTGATATATCCTTCAACATGGATGAACCTGGAAGACATTATGATAATTGAAATAAGCCATCCACAAAGGGTCAGATATTGTATGATTCCACTTACAAGATTTACCCAGAATAGTCAAATGTAGAGGCAGAAAGTAGGACAGTGGTTAACAAGGGGTTATGAGGAGGAGTACGGTTCAGTGCATACAGAGTTTCAGTATGGCATGATGAAAATTCCGGCAATGAATAGTGGTGGTAGTTACACAACAAAGTGAATGCACGAAATACTACTGAACTTTATACTTAAAAATAGTTAAGATGTTGCATTTTATATTATGTATATTTTATCACAGTTAAAAAAAAAAGAAACAGAAAACTTAACTGACCATATAAGAGTGGGTCTATTTTGGGCTCTTTGTAATGTTCCATTGACTGACATACTTGAATTTATTACAACATTACATTGTATTTATTATTAGAATCTTATAGCAAGCTCTGAAATCAGTTAGAATAAACCCTCCAACTTTGCTCTTTTTATTCAAGACTGTTCTGGTTATTGTAAGTCCTTTATATTTCCATGTGAATTTTAGAATCAACTTGTATATATCTGCAAAAATATTTTGGGGTTTTGACTGGTTTAGGGTATCTGGAAAGATGTGACAGCTTATCAACACTTAGCTTTCTAGTTACGATCATGTCATATTTCTCCATTATTTGTTTATTTTTTAAAATTTCCTTCAACATAGTTTTTATAGTTTTCAGGACAGAGATCATATACATCTTTTGTTAAATTTGTTCCTAAGTGTATTGTCTTTCTGACGTATTGTGGATTGCATTTTTATTTCATTTCTAGTTGCTTGTAGGTAGTTTTAGAAACACAATTAACTTGGGCTATTGTCCTTATTCCCAGCATCCTTGCTAAATTTTTGTGTTATTCTATCTTTTGTAGAATTCTTAAGGTTTTCTATGCATACCATCATGAAATCTACAAGAAAAGCCATTTTGCCTCTTCCTCTATAATTTTTGTTCTTTATATATAATTTGTGACTTGCTGTGGGAGCATAGTGAACAACATTGATTAGTGAGCAAGGTATTATCCTTGACTTGCTTTCAATCTCAGAGAGAATGTTCAATGTTAACTAACGTATTAGAAAGAGGCTTTAATTAGATGACAGTTGTCAGATTAAGAAAAATCTTGTCTACTCATATCTTGCTTAAAGTGTTTTGTAAAAATGGGTGTTGAATTTTCAAATGCTTTTTTGAATTTGTTGACAACGTCCTAAGATGTTTCTCCTTAATTCTGCCTTCATTCTTCCTAGCACTCTGAGCTTTATTTATATGTACAATTATCTTTTAAGGAGAAAGTAGGTCTATGTGTATCAGTTATTATTGACTGTGAAACTTAAAATCAGTAATATTATTTCAGTATTGAAGTAGTAAATTTTACTGATTTTATTTTTTGATCTGGGGATCAGTGTGATATATTTGTTCTAGAGAGTTGTATGACTCATGCCACTTCTCTGTTATTAACCAAAGGGAAGAAAGGACAACCTCATGGGAACAGTTTAATCAGCCTTGACATCCAGGCCCATGATTCAGAATGATTTAAATGGTCTGTGACAAAAGAATAGTTAACAGTCTGTAAAATGTCTATTATCTTTAGTTGGCAAAGGCCTATTGATTTAGGGCCTTGAGTTACTCCCATAGGGTATTAGTAAGAAGTGATGTGAGAACTCAAGTTCAGCATTATTTGCCACCTACTAAACACTCCAAGGTAAGTCTATTAATAAGGTACAAATTAAATCTTCATGCTAAATAGCTGCAGATGTTTGGGAAAAGCAGGGAGCAGACTACATGCTACTGTCTATAATTTTCTTCTGAGATCACATATGGCAACATTGTTAAAAAAGATGTCTTTAATGGTATTATTATACAATGAATGATGAACTCCATAACTTGTTTTATGACAATGTCTTTTAGTGGAATAAAATCTAATCTCATCTAAGGATGTCTTCCACAGCTATGCTGCCTCGACATGAGTAAGTACAGCAATCAGTTTTGCACTGTAATTTATGGCTCTTTCTGAAGCTAGATTAGGAGCAGTGTAATGTGTCAATGGGTTGGAGCATTGAAGAACAGATTTTGCTACAGCACTTGCGCATAATTCTATTAGGGAGGTCCACAGAATCATTCAGACACTATCCCAGGGGAATATCACTCACGCTGAGTTCAGTGACCGCTGCCTAATGTCTCCTGCTTCAGTGATGCTGAAGGATGGGCCCCACCCTGACACCACTCTCAATAGTCCAAGCTCATGAAACGTAAGACCAGAGCAGAGGACACCACCATGTGCAGTTCTCAATTAATTCTCTATGTGAAAAGGTAGAATGATCAGAAAATCCAGTGTCACTCTCATCATATGATGACAGCTAGGAGTCATAGACAACAGGCTGGAGATGGGCCCAAAAGGCATGTTCATGCACCCTAGGCAAGGTTCTCATACAGGGCCACTGCTTACTTAATGATGTAAGCAAAAATTACACGCAGAACCATTGACTAGACACTGAAAGAAAAACATATTTAAAATGGTCTTTGAATAAACATTTTTATTAACAAAAAACAAACACAAAAAAATTCAACAGAAGAAAAAGTTACTTACACCAGAATAGAAAGGCTCACCAGACACACATATCACATCCTGTTCCTGGATCATCAAAATATCTTTGGCTAGGTGCAGCCGGACTTTGAAAGGCTCCTGGTTACCATCCTGCAGCAAACAAATTCCTGTCTTTGTCTTCAGATTAAAAAAAAAAAAAAAAAAAAAGGAAAAATTATACTTAGTTTATAGGTTGTAATTTTGTGGCCAATTTACAGCAAAATATGGTGAATAACATTTAAGAGGTGGCGAAAACACACTCTGATGAGCCTGAAATTGAATACTTAGCATGGGTGCAAGGGAAAAGGAGAATGATTTCAAGTAAAGTGAACTCTCGGATAAGGAAAACGATGTCACAAAATTCACACAAAGAAGTGGGGAGTAAGAATTATGGTACATGTACTATGTTTTTAAAATAATGAGAGGTTTTGTAATATTTATAATCTAAAAATAAAAAGGTAATAGCTTTATTGAGATATAATTCAAATTCCATACAATTCAACCCTTTAAAATGTACAATTCATATTTTTTTAAATATAATCAATGGTGTGCAACCATCACGGTAATCAATTTTAGAACATTTCCATCACTTCAGAAAGAAGGATCACACTCCTATTTCTCCATTTCCTCCCCCACTGCCCCAGCCTACTGTAAACTCCAGTATTTCAGCATTCCTAGTCACCAACAAAGACATGCATGCATACACACATGCACAGACATGCATGAAAACACACACAGACACGCACACGCACACGCACACAGTTTATACCTAGAAGGAAATAAGGGTAACAAGGTGAAGCAAACTACCCAAATTAACATAGTTAATTAAAAACAGAGCCTAGTTTAAGACCCAAGATTTCTGATGCCTAATCCAATATGTTGGCTTTATATACTTTGGGGAATTGTGAAAACGGACTGCAAAGATTTCTGAACTTGTGCTATTACCTAAGTAATCACCAAATAAGTCCATGAGTCTTGTCACTTATCCAGAATACATACATTAATCTGGATTAATATAAATATTGTCCCTAGCAAATGCACTTAACATTCCCATTTGTCAAAGACACAAAAGGTAATTCCTTTGAGACAAAATATAATATTTAGCTCTTATTCTGCACCAAAAAGTCCATAGGAATAATGACCACTTTGGAAATGACATTTTCTTTTAGTAATTATTGAGTCATTCTTAACATAGTGGAATATATATATGGGGATATATATTTATCCTCAGAGTTAATTGGTTAATTAATTTCAAATTTAAAAAATTAGCAAATAGTAATTGCATGTATTAATGGCAAACAATGTGAGGTTTTGATGCATGTATATATTGTGTAATTATTAAATCATGTTAATTAGCATATAAATCACTTTAAACACTAATAATGTATGTGTTGTGAGAACATTCAAAACCCTCTCTTCCAGCTATTTGTGGTATACAATATTGTTAGCTGTGATCATCCTACTGGGCAATAGAGTAACAGAATTCATTCCTCTCATCTAACTGTAATATTGTACCTGTAGGCTAACATCTCCCCACCTCTGACCCTCCCATGAGCCCCAGTATGTGGTAACCACTCTTCTACTCTGAACTCCAACATCACTTACTATCAGGAAAATGCAATTCAAAACCACAATGCAACACCACCTCACCCAAGTTAGAATGGTGACTAACAAAAAGACAAAAACTGGCAAATGCTGGTGAAGATGTGGAGAAAAGCAAGCTCTTATACACTGTTAGTTGAAATGTAAATTAGCATAGCCCTTACAGAAAACAGTATGAAGATTCCTTTAAAAATTAAAAACTGATCCAGCAATTCCATTACTGGGTATATATCCAAAGGAAATGAAATGAGTATGTCAAAGGGACATCTGCACTCCCATGTTTATTCTAGCGCTATTCTCAACAGCTAAGATATGAAATCAATCTAAATGCCCATCAACACATGAATGGATAAAGAAAATATGGTACTTATACACAGTGGAGAACTATTCAGCCATAAAAAAGGAATAAAATTCTGTCACTTGGAACAACATAGATAAGGCTGGAGGACATTTTGCAAAGTAAAAACTGCCAGGCACAGAAAGACAAATATCGTATTACATCACTTATATGTGAAATCTATCTTTAAATTTAAGGAGCATGCTATCCCAGGCAAATAATACCAGACTTTCTCTTGGAATACACATTTCCATGGCTATTGCTGGGAGTCTGCTACTTTATCCTCTGTAATATTGATGGGAATATATTTATATACTGCAGCCTCCAAAGATATCTCTTTCTCTAAACTGCTTTTGTTCTTGTGTGCTAATGCATACTCTTTTGCCAACTATCATATACACTCTTATATTAGTTTAGAATTATTTTGTAAAAGTTATGATGTCTTTTTAGGAAAAACAGAAGCTTTTTCATGAGCAAGGAAAGCATTTTTTCTTCATCCATGGCACTAGCACACACATGCTCATGAAACCAGGCTGACTAATCTAGAGAAAATTTTAAGTGAATATATCTAGAGGACAAAAATCTTTTAACAAAAGCATATTGTACTTTCCCTAATATAGAACATAATTTTCCTGTGTTTTTACACAAAGTCACTCATGCTTACAATGGGATATTGGAGAGGGGCCGACATGGAGCCTTTCTGAGGGGCGAAGCCACTCTGAGGAGTGGCAATATGAAATAATACATCAAAGCCAAGTGATCATAAATGAACACATTTGCTGATTTTTTAGTACAGTACATTCCAGGACATTTCTCCCCCAGAAGTGTAATGGAATAGCTGGTAATCACAAATAATGCTCTGTTTGAACTTCAGGATGAGAAAAGGGTTTTCCCTGAAAGCCCAGAAATACACTTTTGGTACACATCAAAGAGATGCCAAAGATCATCCAGGGAAAGTTTGAGGAGCTAAAACAAAACTATGAGGATACTCTCATTTAATTTTTATGTGGCCAAAGCTATCATTCACATAAATACTATGTAAAATGTTCACAAATTATTAGATAGTTGTCTGGAGAACAGAATACAGTCTTTGAGCTCGCTTTTGGATTCTGAAAGGACAAGAGTTGCAGAAAATAAAGAATGAGGAGGATTTTTTTTTTTTTTTAAAGAATAAATCACAGAAGCACACACACACACACACACACTCACAAACACACATTCCAATAAATAGCTACTGGAGAAAATAGCACACAAAGTGCTAAAACAGATCGGTTAAAATAGGTTTCCAGAAGGTAGAGATGTTACACATGTTACCATGAAAATTCAGCTGGTGCACATGGAAACATATCTAAAATCCCACACATGTATTAATTTTGCAAATACTGTGCAGCATTAACAGAGAATCAGACATGAATTAGACAATAGTCCCTGACCTCATACTATTCGTACTTATTTTACCTTATGTTATTTCACTTTTTTCTTGAGGCGGAGTTTCGCTCTTGTTGCCCCAGGCTGGAGTGCAGTGGCGCGATCTTGGCTCACTACCATCTCCGCCTCCTGGGTTCAAGCGATTATCCTGCCTCACCTCCTAAGGAGCGGGGATTACAGGCGCCTGTCATCACACCCAGCTAAGTTTTTTGTATTTTTAGTAGAGACGGGGTTTCACCACCCTTTTGGCCACGCTGGTCTCAAAATCCTGACCTAAGGTGATCCGCCTCGGCCTCCCAAAGTGCTGGGATGACAGGTGTGAGCCACCGCGCCCGATCTCGTACTTATTTTGAAAGTACATATATAAAAAACCACACTATGACATCTGATAAGGGAGCAACATGGGGACAGGAATTTAATATCCTTGAGGGATGGGGGTTTATGGAGGATAGGAAATATGTGTGGTTTGTCTTGAAAAAAAAATAAACTGAGGAAACCATAATTAAAGGAACAAATGTCATTTTAATCAAGAGGAAACACATGAGTAAAGATATGGAAGCGTGAAAATGCACGCCACGTGATGATGCAGGAAAATGAGGGTGCGCTTGCCGCTGAGCCTGTGTAGTCCAGCAGGGGCCGCTGCGGGAGAGATGTCTGGAGAGGACCAGGCGGGCCAACGCCCTGTATGATGGGCGGATGGTGGACGGTAAGGGAGACGCCATATATAAATGTGAGCAAGAAGATAATACGTTCACTGTTATGTGTTCTAAATGTATTTCTTGTAGCAGAGTAGAAGACGGAGAAGAAATGGGAAAGTTAAAACACACTATTGACAGAAACAGGCACTGAGCAGGGAAGTTGGGGACTGATAAACAGGTGCATTAGAGTCAGAGCTTCTCTGGGAGATGCAGGAAAATGGATAAACTCCATTTCAGGGCACTGCCTTGATTAGAATCAGCGTTGCTGGACTAAGATCCTCACTCATGAAATATGGTCATATATTTCATTATTTGTTGTTTAATAATAATTATTCATATAGTGCTCACTGTGTGACAAAAAGTATTAATTTGTTTTTCTCCCTTAACAAAAATTAATGCAGCCATCTGCCTTTACAGATTAGACAAGTGCAGAGGGACCCAGAGGAAGAATTCAACCCAGGCAGCTGGACTCTTCACCGCACAGCCTGCTTTACCTCATACACAGGTTATTAAAGAATGCCATCCCCAGTTGTCCTGTACACCGTGACATGGCTACTGGCATCTTTCACTGGAGAGAATTATGGTTATCAATAATCTCCTATTGGGGTGTGGATAATTTTGAAAAGAACACTTGAAGCAGCTATTCTTCGTATATGGAAGCAATGACCACTAGAGAGAGAAAATGAGTAAGAGACTACTCTGGAACTTACAGATGGTCTTCCCCAAAGTCAGACTACTAGGAGGCTGTCTGATAGAGGAAGAATTTTGGTCTCCACTCCTTCCTGAAGTGTTTTAAGAGCTAAAAATGGGAGACCGAATCATGGGAGCAGTTGCTGGTTGGTGCTGCAAACCTAAAACAGCCCCACCTGCAAAGTCTTTACAGATCTGTGGACTCAAATTATTTAGATATCGAAAATCACCTACATAATTATTGGTCTCAAATTTTAATATAAACTGAAGACACACACTTATCTTCTTTCTTTCTATTAATGTGACATCATTTGTCTCCAAATTTTGTTGACTTTGCATACCATTGCACATAAATAATGTATGTGATATAGATACTGTATGAAAGTATTTTGTACTTTATAAAATATACACCAAACTTATAATTTTAAAGGGATGATTAATTTAAAAATGATACCATTGAGGACATAGGCGTGGGCAATGACTTCATGTCTAAAACACGAAAAGCAATGGCAACAAAAGCCAAAATTGACAAATGGGATCTAATTAAACTAAAGAGCTTCTGCACAGCAAAAGAAACTACCATCACAGCGAACAGGCAACCTACAGAATGGGAGAAAAATTTTGCAAATCAAGAAAATGTTTATGAATTTGCGTGGGTTCACTCTTTAAACAAATCTCACATTTAACTTCTCTCACATTTAAACTTATTAAGAATTTGTACTTTCTTAAATGTAGGACCTACGTTGGATCTTTATAAAAGTAGAATGTCATCCATTTTCTACTTAAAAAGTTGAGACCCTTTTAATTTATGTTCTAGTCTTTCAAAAAGTACAACATGTATTTTAATGAAACGTTAAAATTTAAGGTCTTTTAATTTTGAAATATATTCACAATGTCAGATGTAAAAAACGACAAACTACAAAAAGTAGACAAAGACCGTAATATGAACTGCAAATTTTCTTGCAAGCATCCACAGTATTTCCATGTTTCAAGTGCCAAATACTATTTAATTCTTTTTGTCTTACACTGTACTGCATTGTAGCAGTAGTGCACTAAATGTTCTTTTAGGTGAAGTGCTTCAAACTGCCTCATCATTTACTTTGCCATTCCTGGATTACTTTTAATCATGGCCTTTTCCTTAACTAAATTGTAGCCATTGTTCAAGTCCTAGCACTAGACTGAATTCTCTTTGAAGCCTTCTGAAATCATTCTATTCAAAAATGAGGAATCATGAGTGATTTAATTTCCTCTTTCCTCACTTTCCTGAACACATGGATTCCGTTAAGTAAATATTTACCCCAAAATTGATCATGATTGTCTTTTGGCATCACATATAGTGACTTCAGGAATATTTAGCTATATCTCATATAAGTGATTTAATTTCCTCTTGTATATTGTTATCTCAGTAACAGATTGTCACTCTTTTCAGTACTAAGGATTACTAATTTACAAGAACTAGCATAGTGATCACAGCATTACCATTGTAAATAAATCTTCTGAATCTTAACAGAATTCGAGAAATATCTCAAATCAGTACATCAAAACAATTTTGTTTACAAAAAGGTCTTGTAAATCTTTCCAGCCTCTGAAATCCAAAATAAACCATTTGTTAAAATAGTATTTGGCCACTGTCCAGTCTCTATCATATGAATGTCATGTGTCCCATAAGTATCTCATTCACACAAATATCCACTGGGTTTCAATGAGTGCCTTACTAATCAAGACATAAGGGTTTCATATTAATGGAAATAGAAGACTTGCTACATTTAAAATTAAGTATGCAATTAAAACCAGAAATGGCCTGGGTGCGAGGGCTCACCCCTGTAATCCCAACACTTTGGGAGGCCGAGGCAGGTGGATCACGAGGTCAGGAGATCGAGACCATCCTGGCTAACAGTGAAACCTCGTCTCTACTAAGAATACAAAATATTAGCCGGGCGTGGTGGTGGGTGCCTGTAGTCCCAGCTACTCAGGAGACTGAGGCAGGAGAATGGCAAGAACCCAGGAGGCGGAGTTTGCAGTAAGCCAAGATCATGCCACTGCACTCCAGCCTGGGTGACAGAGGAACTCAAACATCTCAAAAAAAAAAAAAAAAAAAAACCTGAAACAATACAATTAAAATATAACATACAAAGCTTCTAGAAGATTAATTCAATTTTTAAACATATATGAACCAATAAGTGCTAAGTTAAAAAGATGAATAATTTACATACTCTGACCTTATAATATTCTGTGTAGCACATGAGAAAAGTTTGTAAACTACATTATAATTGATGAGTATTAGCATAGAGATATGTTTAAAATGTTATGCTTAAAGCATTAAAAGTAGAAGCATAAGAATAGAAATATAAAAGCAATTTATTAGTTTTCTGAAAAACCCTTATATTTACAGTCTGAACTTTGTACCAACTGTGACAAATATTTTTAAATATATATTTTTCAATTGCTTTAGAAGAAAATAAGGAGTTATGTTCCACAAATTCAAGCAAGAACTGTAAACACATGACATTTTCACTAAAATAACAGTCTTCACAAGGTTAAGAACTGAAGTCTTTCCCCGGTTTGATTTTAACACTACCAGAGGTAATCCAGTTATGGTTGGTTTTTGTTGGGTCATTTATATACAATAAAAAATGCCTTAAATCTTTTAAACAAATATAAAATATTTTTAAGCTGCATGTATTTTTATTTTGCCTGAAGAATGAAAACACAATGTTTTGAACGTTACATATTTAGCAAAAAAAAAAAAAAAATAAGAGGATGGAGGAATATTTCCCAAGCAAATGGAAAGCAAAAAAAAAAAAAAAAAAAAAAAGATAGTCTTTCTTCCTAAGATGGAATGGTTATATTCCCTGGGGGCCCATGTCCATGCACTATTGAACTGTACACTTGAACGCTTTTTCACATCCTTGAAAGACTAATGTGCCACTTTAACTCATGCTGAAATGTGATGACAGCTCTACAGAGAATCTAAATTGCTGTGTATTAATACTTAAATAATATCGAATTACTTAAATAATATCAGAATCATAAAATAATAGAATTATAGGGCTGAAAGGAACCTTAGATGTCTTCTAATTTATTACCATTTATGTGAAAAGAATTCTTTCCAACACTTCCACTACCTGAAAAGTGCAGAGTTGGTGGAGAGGACCAACTCAATTATATTTAATATGCTCCAGTCTTCCTAAAGAAAGAGTTAAAGTCCGAGGCTTTCCATGCACAGTTAGGTTTTCTATCTTTGCAGAAGGAGAACATAATCTGGAAAGAAAAAGAGCCCATACCCCTCTCTCCATCTTCTGCCAAAAGCAGAGTTTCCCCTATATAAATTGGAGCCAAGTGTTTCCTGCTTATATTCTGTTTTTCCTGTTTGAAAAGCAGAAAGCTCTGTACTCACCTCCTCACAGGTGGTTCTGAAATCCATGTGCTATGGCACCACAAAGGATGTCGTCTGAAAAGACACAGAAATAGTAAGCGATTAGGCACAGCATGGCATGTAAGAGAGAACACTAACATAGTGGAGGAAATCGTGAAGCAGAACTTGTGGGAAAACTGTGTTTACAACCACCTGTAAGAAACAAGAGCTCCAGGGTATACTGAAGAGAGGAAAATGAAGAGATGAAAAAAGTCTTAATCCCCAGCTTTTAGGAAGTATAAATATCCTGCCATCATTCAGTGTGATGAAGAGTGTGCATTTCCAGGCACCTCTCCATCCTGCCAGCAGGCGTTCAGACTCCATGTACCAGCAGATCAATCTCTTCTCGCTCATTCCCAACATGCATTGTGAAACCTGAGTTTGCAATTGAGAAAGAAACTTCAAAAAGAGCAATTAAAGATTGCCTTCATATGGTTATCTCATGAAAAAGGTTGACTAATCATTCTCTTTTTAATTAAAAAGCTACATGCATGAATAATTCTCTCTGGAACTTAAATTTTATTCACAATACGATGTAAGGAAGCAAGCTATTTGTCAGAGCGAATAATAAGAAAAATCAATGTATAAAATATCTAAAATAGATTCATCTATGGTCATTAAAATATCTAAATGATGAATGTAGGTTGAAATACATATAAATGTTTTTGTAAAATTATTCTGGAGTGTTTTGTTTTCATTACTTGATACCCCTAACAAAACTAAGATTTGTCACGGAAAGTTGACACCCAGACACTATAAAACAAAGCAATGCAGAGCCGAAATATAATGGATAAGTAAATGAGACATCAAAGTAAGGTGAATGGTTAATTCCAAAATAGAAGACTCTATACTCCTCAAAATTACTCCGCCTCTCAGCCTTTGGAAGAGTAAACTATTATATCCTTCTTTGGCATTTCTTTTTAATTATACAAGATTGATTAATGCTTTATCAGGTAAGTGTGGTAAAACAGAGTAGGAGGTATCACCATGCTGTCACTGAACTGATGGATTGCTACTATTGACTTTGAAAGAAAGAGATTAGCCATCATCAGTATTAACCAAACACATCATATAATCTATTAAATATTTCCCCTAGATAAATCTTGTGGATTGTGAGCCTCATTAGTATTAGTGAAATTTTTATTACTAACAACTATTTTTTAAAATTTCTCTTAAACATTTTATTTGAAGAACCTGTAAATATTTTCTTGTCTCTAACTCTGATGTAAAGTTATTCTTTTACTACAAAAGAAGGAAAATTTTGATATGTATTGATTATATAAAAACAGGAGACATCTGGAATCAACTTCTTGCTACTAAAAACCAACTGGAGAAATAGACATGAGGATACTCAACCATCTAAATATAACCTCATGTTTGTTTTATATGCTGAATTTAATTTTAATGCATAAATTTTAAAATTTTAATTATTTCATAATATGACACATTTGAGCAGGTGCTGTATCTGTACCTTCTACCAATTTAGCAAATCTTCCTTTTTTTTAAATTCTAATCTTCTATTCTTTTTCATCAAAACAGTAGGTAATAATATCAGTTGTTTGTTCAGAAAAATAATTAATACATAAGCACAGATATATAAGTATATATCTACATACTGTTAGATAAAATGTGTAGGAGATAACCGATTTGGATTGAGTCCCTACCTTAGGTTCTACTAGACTAAATCAAAAATGAAGCTACTCATCCTAAGCTTCACATCACCAAACTGAAAGCAAGATGTTCGACTTTTCTAAAACATTGGAAGAGGGAATAATAGCCAAATAGCCAAACAGGCCAATTTTAGCTGGCATTAAAAGAAGTCCCCTCTGCTTTAACCCTAAAAGGAAAGCAACTTTGTAATGAATAATCTATATTTTGGCTTTTATTCTGCTTTCTTCAGCCCTTTTCTGCATATAAATCCCACCTCCAGGGCTCAGCTCATCAGAACATCTTGTCTGAAGGTTTAAAGGAGATACTGCCCTGATTCATGAATCACAATAAAGGCCAATCCAATCATTTCACTGCAATTGTTGTATTTTTTCTTCTGACAGTCCTCCACTTCCATTTTTCTCTACTGTTAGATTCTTATATTAGTTTGTCACATTGATTACAATTAATAAACTGTTATTGATACATTATTACTGTCTAAAGTCTAAACTTCATCTGTGTTTTCCTTGTTTTTCCTATTGTCTGTTTTCAGTTCTAGGATCGCTTCCAAGGCACCTCATTACATTTAGTCCTCTTTTCTCCTTAGGCTCCTCTTGGTTGTGACTGTTTCTTAGATTTTGCTTATTTTTAAAGACGTTGGCAGTGTTGAGGCATGTTGGTCAGGAATTTGTAAGATATTCTTCCATTGGGATTATTCTGATGTTCTTTGTAGTTATTATAGTGTGGTAATGTGGTTTTGGAGGAGGAAGATCTCAGAAGTAAAGTGCCATTTTCATCCCATTCAATCAAGGATACGTGTGAGCAATACGACTTAACACTCGAGTGCTTGCTAACCTTATCATCCCACTGACATAGTGTTTGTCAGCTTTTTCTATTGAAAGTTCTTTTTTCCTCTTCTCTCCACACAGCACTGGTTGGAAAGAGGTTACTATGAGTACCTCACACCTAAGGAATTGGAGGTTATGCTTCCCATTCCTGAGGCTGACCTATCTACATAAATTATTTGAGATTACTCTGCACAGGAGACAGAGTTGTTTTCCACCATTTATTGATTGAGCCAATCATTTCTTTTAGGACCTCTCTTCTGACAGAGCAAAGAAATATCTGTGTGTATACTAACCCATGTTAGCATGCACATATCGATAGACATGTCCCTATATAACCACCTGCATCTATATCAAGCTGGACAACAGTTATTAGTGATGCTCCACCTCTAATAGCAACCACATGTGCTATTCTAGTCTTCTTTCTTCACTTATCTGTAAACTTTTACTGTACAAGATTGATGAATGCTTGTTTAGGTAAATGGTAGAATAGGCTAAGAGGTGTCACCATGTTGTCACTGATAAATTATTACTATTGGCTGTGAAAGGAAATAGATTGGTCATTTTCAGTAGAAACTGAATGTGTTATACAATCAATTAAATATTTCTTAAGTCTCTGACAGTGAGAAACCTAGTTTCCAATAACCAACCATTCATGTGCTTAGCTGTGCAATCCCAGTATACATGTATAGTCATAAGAAATGCTAACCCACAGGCCTGTGGGAAACAACTTTATCCATTAGAGCATAGTTTATTTTATCTTTCATCATATAGACTGCACTTATTATCAAAAGTACTTATGTCTACCCCAGTGATGGGTGGAGAGAAATGACCATATGCTAGTTTCTCTGCAGACCTCACATGTTTCCCGTGCCCTCTAGCATTTCTGCAATTGCATGAGAACAGTTTCCCCAAGAAGCTGCTGCCCTGTTGGTCTGGCCTTAAAATGACACACACAGAGCCAAACATCTTATATGACCCACAGAATGCAAGGTGCAGCCCAACTACCCTTACATCCTTGCCCAGGACAGAGCTGCCACAGCCACATTGTAGACCTGTGAGTCAAATAAGTGATTGATATTTGTGGTGGCGAGCTTTAGGTGCTACAGAGTCTGGTCATTTAATCAAACACTAATCTAGGTGGTGCTGTGAAGTTTCTTTGCAGATTATATATATAATCAACTCACTTTAAATAACGGAGACTATTCTCAATAATGTGGGTGGATCTCATCAAATAAGTTGAAAGGCCTCAGAAGCAAGCTTGAGTTTGCTCTGAAGAAGAAATTCTGCATCCAGACTGCATCAGCAGCTTCTGCATGAGAGTTTCCAGCCTGCTGGGCTGATGTAGATTTCAGACTTGCTGACCCCCAGTCACATTAGCCACATACATAGTGCTTCCATTCTTCTGTAGAACCATGACTGATACAGATTTGGTTACCAACAGTGGTTTTAAAGGAACTGAATTCTAAGAATGAGTGTTTTGAATTAGTTTTGAGGTTTCAGGAATTGATTCTGTAATCTAATTAGATTTAAAGGCAGTAAAGACTCTATTTCCAGTATTAACAAGAACACTGGTAGACCATGGCACAAAAAGGCAATACGGATACACACAATATCACCACTGAACACTATTACTCGAGTACTGATAAGGCAAGGTTCTCAGTGACCAAGTATTTGATAACTTAGAACAGTTCTGTCAAATAATGAGTGCAATAAGATTGGCTCTTTGCTCTTAACCATGCTATAGAAAGTAGAGAGAAAAAGGGGGAGCTTGGATTTCAAATTTCTAGCCTATGACCTTCATATATGACCCCAAAATGCCTATGCCTGTCTTAGATTATACCTTTATCTCCTATAGTCACAAGCCTGAGATTTCTGAACAGTAAGCCCAGAGTCTCATCCTGCTAGTCACTGAATTACATCACAAATTAAACCCCCAGCCTAGCAAAGTTTCTTCTGTTAAACACAGACATTGGGAAAAACGGGACCCTGAATATTGGAATGAAGACATATATAAAGTCCGTGATGAAGCTGGGCTCAGTGAACCCCTAAGTTCTGCTGAGTCTTCTTTGGTAGTAGAGTGATGGCCTTTGCTGAGGTGGTTGTCCTAAAGACAATGTTGATTCTCCTGAGGATCCAACCCCACCAATCCTCTTTCCTTTTATAGGTATAAGTAGACTCAAGTGGCAACAGGTGAAAAAAGGTGAGATACAAAGTTTAACCCATTAAAGGTGTGTTCCACTCCAAAATCATTGTATATTTTTTCAATTTATACAGACAAAATTCTGGGGACTATGTGTGGAATGGATATTCATGATGTTAGATAATGTTGGAAGGCACAAAAATTTGGACTAGGTCAAATTGATTGATATTGCCCCACTAAGAATAAATTCTGGATGTAAATTTGGGGTGTTGGAAAGGGTTCTGACAGTTTGTTTAGCTGACTGGGTTTAAACATGGACCAAAAAAAAAAAATGGCTTATAATAAATTACATTAAAATGCCAGGATCACCTTGGTATACTGCAGAGGAAGGTAACAGATGA